TGCACCACGTGGAGGTAAGTCTATCGCACACCCCACAATCCCGAAATTTGAGTCTTAGAAATTGAATTGCCTATTTAGTAAATACTGTACAACCCAAATTCAAAAAAAACCCGAATGAGGTTAGGCACTTTTCCAGACTTTGTGTTACTGCTTTCCAATTATTTTGGATCGCCTTCCATCATAGTGTTTGTCAGACGTCCTGTTCCACCACTTTCAATTGATGACAGCAATGAATTTTTTTGTTTTCTATTAAGGTGGGCAACAAAAATAACATTGACAGGTGATAGAATCAACAAAAAATTAAATAGAGAGAGAGAGAGAGTATGATGAATGAATTTTGCCCAAAACAAAAGTGCTTTTAAGCTGAAACAAATTCACTCCTTCCTGGAGGTTTCAAAAAATAAGCAAAGCGCTAGGGCATTGTCCAAACTGTTTCAGGCATGAAGGAAAATCCTTTTTGCCTTTTTTTCATCCGAAATACTTGTTATAAGGAGGGACTGATTAATACTGAAGCCACGAAAGTCGATATCAGAATTTCATTAAACTGATGAACGTTGAAAAAAAAACGGGGATAAAGAGCTCGAAGTCCAATATTTGACCATAGAGACAAGAAGATCAAGGGAACTAATCATTCTTCGCAAATATTCAATTTGTCTTGGTGCCGATCTGATGTGTGAGACTACCGTCATAGTACCTATTCCCCTATTAAATTGAATTAGTACAGAACAATTTTAGAAATGTCAATAAATCTGATTACTAATCTATAATACAGAAAGCTACGTAATGTATACAAGGCACGTACAGTAAGTAGAAAAAACGTACGTAAACGTTATATAAACAGACGCCTGTGAGCTTACTAACTGGCCAGTAGGAATTCATGAACAACACCAAGTTCGAAATCCGGAAGGAAAAAAAGTGTAGAGAAAGGGGCATAACAAACATGCGAATTTTTAATATGAAACTTGGTTAATTTATAAGACAGATTTGTTTTAGATAGAAGCTAATAACTTATAAGGAAGGACTTAATTTTGCATGAGCCAATCCCTACACACTTCGGAAATACGCATATTTAGAGATATTCTAGCTATTTTAATCCATAGAGCATTCTACTGTAGAAAATAAACAGCTCAAAATGTAAGCCGGAAGAGATTCAGCATTACTATGCATGAGATCAAGACTCATCAGAATGGAAACCCACTAATGGGATGTGATTCAATCGAGTTCTAAAGTTAACGATGGTGGATTGTGAGTTTAGCAATAGGACAGACCCCAGAAATTCCTATCTCTTCACCGTATCTTCTTGTAAAATACTGACAACTCCCAAACCAATTAGGGGAGGCATTTCCCTTTTCTTAACTTAAATATAGAGACAGCGTCATTCTGGCACTTCCCTCATCAGTCGTTACTCCTAGGTTTACAGACTGGTATAGATAAAGACATTATCCTACTCCGACTACAAATTTATCAAAGGAGACCTTTTAGTTACTTAAAATCCAATAGTCGAGCATTGCAAGCTGTGACATTTTGAACGTTAAAAATGCAATGCCAAATGTTGTATTGTGAATAATTGAATTTAAGGGAATCAATTTTGCTGAGTGCAAAAGAACAGAAAGCATTAATTGATATAAATTGGCAGAAAAGAAATCAATAGAACAGGAGTGACGAAATAATTTACAAGACAATGGAAAATCAATGAGAGTACTGACGCATCGCCACTTATAGTTAAACTCATCCAATCAAATAGACGAACAATTGGATGCAATAGATTCACAATTTAATTGCTATTCGTCAACGAGTGTTGGATATTTGTTAAAACTTGCTAATTAAAGGGGTCATTGCACGCTATCATAGAGTTCAGGAAGTTGTCTCTTTTGGAAGCTAATAAGCTTACAGGGCGAACATATAGAAATTTGATACAACTACAGCCTAGGTAACCAAATTAAAAAAGGGAAAAGTAATGAAAAAGTTGAGACAATACAGGGAACCAAAACGATTAAAGCCGCCCACTAAAATAAGACTTAATTCTCATACGATTGGAAGGTTGAAAAACTCATGCTCCATAGATGCTATTAAGCATTATTTGTTGCTTCCGAATCCCACTGACACCCTTCCCCCCCCCCCTCCCCGGTGAGCGGAATGGCCAACATCGCGGATTAAGTCTGGATAACATATATGACCAGATTCGAGTCTCCTTCTCATCAGTTAGGCAACAAAATACCCATCTACTCAAAATGAGTGCTTGAAAACGCTTTCTAAATGCGAGGGTTGGAGTTTATTACTATTACTTTCATTATAAGTCAATAAGAAATAACTTCAATAAATCTCTATAAAGGTGGACCTATCACGAACATTTTGAAAGGAGGACTATAAACGGTGCCTATACATAAAATAGCTTTACGGTTTACTTTTTTCCTTGTATTTCTCATGATATTAAGCTGATAATATAAGATAAAGCAAAAAAGGAGCCTTTCTTTAAAAAATTGTACCGTCACTTTGCTCCATGCATTCCCCCCCCCCCTCCCCCAATATTTGTGATTAAATTGAATGAAAATGCTGAAATCATTACTGATTGAATTAACAGGAAATAAGGTCAGTACATAACTACAACGAGGAGCAGACATGACAAAAGCGAATTTTCCAAAGAAGTGGCAAAGGCATAAAAAAACGCGTGAGATCCACGCTTTCAAACAACGCACCAGTAATACTTTATTTTCTTCGTAATTTTCACGAGGCAAATATGCCAAAATCACTAATCATGGTCATAACGTCTTATGAAATATTGAGGGTTTAGCGTGTATCTTGATCAGATTAGAAAGATGTACTTGTAAAGCTGCACTCTACTGCTTAAGCCACCACAATCATCCCTCATTAGGCAACATGATCAGGTGCTCTGTTTTTCAAAACATTTCCTTTCTTTTCAAAAGTACAAGCACGATTATCAACTTACCAGCGGAGGGTTGTGTAATTTCCTTATTGAATTCGCTGCCGTCTTCCACATTGTCCTGTTGTTGTTGGTGCCTTAATCTCCGCCTTATTCTTTCCTGCCTCTGATGAGACAACTGATTCCTAATGTGTCTCATTTTCTCCGCCAATGATTCACATTCCTCAGCTTTAGCCCGTGTTGTATTTGGCCCATCAGCATCAGTAATGAAATTCCCTTTACAGTTGCAGGAGTGAGATCCATTTCTCCTAGGGCCAAATAGCAAATCCCCAGACTGATAGTATAGGAGGCAGTCTTTAAGATCAGCCAGACTATCATTATCTTCCTCTACCGTATATTCCTCCCCCTCACGATTTTCGGAAGGGTAAAAGGGAGGGACGGTCATAGGTGGAGTTGTGCTTAAATCCCGGTTATCCCATTCGGGGGAGGATGGCTGAAGGAAATATGCTGCTGCTGTAGTGTTACTGTTACATTCAGGTGAAATACAATCCTCCGTATCAGATGCATAGGAATTATCCCGTCCAAAGGCGTAACCAGTGAAAAGACTCGCCGCGGCAGCTATAGTGGCAGGGGAGGAAGATTTCTGCCTGTCTGTTGATGCTTTGAGAACAGAGGGCTCAGACGTCGTGGTGGCTAAGTGAGATTGAGGTTTTTGGGGATCATCACAACTCAGCGCAGACTCCTCAGATTGGAGAAATGGGAGGGATTGGGTTGTTTTCGAATTGGAAAGGTTACTGGAAAGAAAAGGCGCTTTTAGGGGATATTCAGAGGATTCTTCGGATCTTAGAAGGGAATTAGTTGAAGCAGTTTCTCGATGATGTTTGTTAACAGCTCGCATAAAGTCCAAATGATCAGCAGAATTTACGAAGTAAAATGTAATTTGCTTTTCATCTTCGGGGTCGCGGACTTCACTTTCGTTTAGAGGTGGGATAGAGGTGGTAGCCGTAGTGGGAGGGAGATCGTCGGTGCTGCTACTACAATCAGACTTGTTTTGATTAGAAGAGGAAGAGGAGAAATGAGCAGTTGATGTAAATCGTATAGTTGCAGTGGCGGCCGTTGAAGGTCTATAAGTGTTAATTGGACCTCCTCGTAATCCCAAAACCAAGCGCAGAGTAGCACCACCGGGAATGCTGTAATCCTGGAGAGACTGGTGATCAGAGAGCTCACCATTTTGCCAAATCAAGTGTTGTTGGCAAATGGGAATGCCTAAATACCGAAATAAAGGAAATTAACGAAATACTAATAGCTATCGCAGTAAATATAATAAAGGATCTAACGTACCTTCAAATCGTTGGATTTTTGACTTAATCGACATAACAGTGTCATTGGGAGATACTCGAAGTTCGAAAGATGTACCCGTAAGGGTTACGATACGTAGTTCCATTTTACAATTAGTCGTATTGGTTTGGCATAATCTACAAAAATAAAGGTGATAATTAATCTAATTGATCAAAAAGATAAAATTTTAGTTATTAAATACTCACAAAATGCATAGTAGGAAGAAAAAAGTCAATATAACCGAAGTAGCGAGTGAATCAAATGTAGATTAAATATGAATATATAATTAGCATTAAATAAATTTGTAGTTTCACGAGAAGTCAAATTTACAAATTCTGATTCGATGACATACTACACGGGTTTTCATACAACGCGCCAGCGGCGAAAATCGATAAAAAGCGGGTAAACCGTCCAGTAGATGCCGAAGACGTTTGATTCTCATATAATTGGTTAGATGGTAATTGTGCTGACCTTGAAAGTTTAGTCCAATAGGCTTAAAGTACTTGAAATATTAACACACTTGTGCAAGTTAAGTTTAGTATTTTAATTTTTTTAAAGTGATATTTACTAATAAAATGAAAAGACTTAGAAAATGATGGAAAAATAGTAAATGGTCATAGCTACACCCTTGAATTTGTATTAACATAGTGTATGTATACTGATTTATTTGTGGTATTTATATTTAGTCTGGAACGTAGTTGCTGCTGACAAAATAGACTTTTAGACTAACCTGACTAAATTTTGTTATTTAACATTTTCAATTACTTTAAACTTTGAAGACGGCCGTCATCGTTTCATAAATTCCAATAAATTGTAATAACCTTTCCCATCTTGAGATAACGCGAGCTGTAATATATTTTGCGTAAGGCGAACGGTCTAGTTAAGTCTTAAAACTATAGAAAATTGAGGCCTTTATACAAAAAGTTAAATGCATTACTGCATATTGACGATCAATCTCTGAGCTCTATCTGGCTTTTAGCGTTGCACATTCTATTAAAATACGTTTAACCGAACTTAACTTAACTTAACTCACTGACTGCGATGGCTCTTCGGATTCGCAAAAAGGACATAGAGGCACAAGCTAAACCGAACTTAAAATTTTGGTATAGATTCAAGTTTCTGGCCCTCAATGCCTGCGCTTGACGAGCTGCTTCTACTTAACAAGCTAAGCTTATTCAAACACAAATCTGAATGTTCAATGAATTGGGTCTAAATCTAGTTGTTTAACATCGCCTGATGTCGGTTGACTTGTCCTGCAATTACAATAGAATTCTGCGAATCAGGTAACTTATCTAGTAATCCTAATTCCGACGGACTATAAATACAATCAGAAAGTGAAAGATATTTTGGGAAATGACATGCTCATACGAATAATTAATCTTGGAGATACTATGTATCAGTTAATCCGACCATTCAAGGACGTTCCTCTTTGTTGACAACTAAAATACTAAAACCGCATGATAACTAACTAACAGGCCCTCAATCCTGAAAGTAATGTTCAAAACATATGCCTCATGACTGCATTTTTATGTCATAGATAATTACAGAATTGGCGTGTAAAAACTTGTACCGTTTAATTGGTACCAGAATCAAATTTCTAAGTATATTTTTCGGATTTAACAAATTTTTTGATTCTTAGTTCAAACGTTTTTTACCCAAAATACACTAGTTTGGAACATTTTAAGTGAACCTGTGTTTTAGCATATTACAATATACTAATTAGGCTATTATAGTGTTTGTGAAATATAAGTAAAATGCATGAATTGTATCCATTAAGCCTAAATATACCATTTACTATTTACTATGAGCAGTCAACATGCTACGAATTTATCATTCTTTGATTCACAACCGAAGCTGGTAACGCAGAGCTAATAAAGGAGCTGCATCAATTACATTTTCCACTGCCATGTTGCACCAAAATGGGTACTATAAATACTTTCCATTTAGAATCGGGTGATAAAATGTAGAATGGAAATTATACACCACGAACTATGTTCATATTTCTGGCGAAAGACGGAAGTTTGCTAACCAATGGTTTTTGCACATGAGTTGGATCAAATTATAACTGACACATTTTGAAATTAACTTTCTGTCAAGTAGTTAGTTGCAATTTTGAGATAGTTCTATGTAACTTTCAGATTATCCTTTGAAAATCTGAAAGAATTTCTTTTAATGAAAGAATTATTTTTACTTTCTATTCTAAACCGTATTTAAATGTATAATGCTTCTAAATTTAACGTGCGCATTTATTACTGACGTTTAATGTGTTTTTTCTCTTCAAAGTTCATTGTTATTTTATTTACATTTATTTATATGTACACTGAATTTTTTTGAATTTCGCTGTTGTTTCCTCACTGTTAGTATATAGCCTCTAATTATTCACAATATTTTAAATCATGTTTAATCTCAGAAAATTACCAATTTTGAGCATTAGGCTTTATAGAATGTACTTATTATGAAACTTAACCAGTAATACCTATATTATTAGTTTGTCCAATTAACTTATTTGCCGCGTTTTACCGATGACGATGTCGGCTCTTTTTGCGAGGGTTTGTCTCTATTTGTAGTAATTATTTCTAAATAGACAACATTTCTTCTGGCTCGTAATGGGGCTCCAAAATTGTGCTCTCCAAAGGTTATGATGGTTCCGGCTCGTGGTTTTACAAAACCAGCTTTTTTACAAAATTTCTATGATAAATTGGAAAAACTAGAGCATGAAATAGACGAGGAAGGAAAAGTTGGTGCTAATTTACCTTTCAGTATCGAAAATCGTCGAGCTCTTGCCATCAAATTCATTCTTTTTATTGGAATTGCCTTCAACATACCGTTTGTTTTCACCTATTATCAAATGAAAAATGCCAAGAGTTCCTAAATGAATAGCTTACCCCTTTCTCTCAGGCAACTTTTATAAATAAAAATACATCTACTGTCATTTGAATGTTTCGAATTCAATATAGTTTCTTAGCTCAATTGACTTTTTCTTACCTTCAGTGGTTTTGTTACGTCTATTGCTTTATAAAACCTGCTTATGGATAAGTACATTTTATGGAACATTTTTTCGAATCCTTTGAACTTATGGTTAAATTTTTCAGGAATTTTTTTCTTGAACTCTGATGACCCCGTTTGGTTCCGTGTTTGCTAACTTTTTTCCCATATCTCTGGCCTTCTGTCCTGTTTGTTTTTGTAAGATTACGAGATTTATCAATGATATTATTATAATTCCAGATTTAAAATGGTTTGGATTTGCTATTTGACCTCTGTGTTACAAACGAGAAATTGAAATGTGAGGTTAGGCACGATTGTCTACTTAATTCGCCAAAGAGCATTATTATTTGTATTGAGTTGGACAAGCTAGACTGCTGAGAGTAGCTGTTGTCAGAAGTTTATCGCTTTAATTTATGCTTGCGAAATTTTTACGACGAGCGTAATGCTACTCACTTTTCTGGGTTTATGAAAAGTCTCTTGTGAGAATTGACATTGATAGGTTTTGAGCTTATTGGGGCAGTAATATTTATCATGCCTTTTTCCAAACAACTGTTTTTTCTAATAAAGGCCTATTAATATTGCTATGCAACAGGATTTTGTATTTCCTTTTTCTGAAAAAATGAAACTGACGTTTTATGTGTACTTTGGCTCTATCAGTAGGATAGTTATTTCAAAATGCTCTTTTTAGCATCATTTCTCGGATTTGTGGCTAGAGTTTGTAGTCAATGCACAATGTACGCATTAATTTACATAATATATAATGTGGTTTAAGAGCCAAAAATCCTTTTTTGTGAACCCACTTATCGCAGATGCGAGTGATCGTAAAACACTCCAAATTTTTTGCCATCGATACTAATTTGATATCCTCAAATACTTGTATTTTTAAGGATGGTTCTGGTTAACCGAGGAGGATTATAGAGACAGACACTCATATGTACGTATTGAAATAGACTTAAAGAGCAACTTCTGTTTGTTTGGATTCGGGAATTTGTTAGATACCTCCTGTTTCTCACTATTCTCACAATATCAAAAGCTCTTTTATTATTCATTCTCCAGACTTCCAGTTATGATAATCAATATTCGATACATTTATCTTCTAACTGATCTTCAAAATTAATTTGACCTATATTGCTCTTAATTCCTACTAAGGTAAGGAAAATAGAGGCATCAATCATGCAGAAGTCACGCTTTTCGAAATGGAAACTAGAATTCGTTTTAAGAGGACTTTAGTTTGGGAACAGGAATGTGCGATAGACTTACCTCGACGTGGTGTACCCTGGGCAACGTATACTCATACGGCAAAAAGTCCATTAACCGGTAGTCGACTTCTCTATGTCATATTCGGTCCATTAACCGGTAGTCGACTTCTGACTTCAAACTACCATGATCCCACTGTATGTCTAATTCGATCACTTCCATCGTACTTATCCTACCTTTTCTCTGCCTTTGTGTTTGTTTTTCTCTTTTACATCCGTGAATCACTCTTCTGTCTTCCACTTTTTCTCACTTTGATATTCCTCCCCTCTGTGAAGCCCAAAGTCAGCCAAAGGGCTAATGGTAAGTATCATATTGCCCGCAATTTGATATAAATAAATAGTTAGGGAAAAATGCTCCATATTGTGGTAATTCTTCCATTGACCAATGTTTACGCCAGATTCATAGCTAATTTAGCATTCTTTGATATATCAGACTGATTTGAAATACTAGGGGGACTTTTAAAATTTGACTCTTTAAATGTGCCTATCTTTAAGCTAACTATTAACTAATTAAATTCCGTAAAATTGATTCAGTAATGATGCATGGCTGTTCAAATTTCTGATAGGTTGAATCGATTTAGGAAATAAAGGCTTAATGTATTTTCAATGACGGATGCACATTAATTGAGCCAAACCTCTATAAACCACTACCATTCCAGCAATTATCTCAGCATTGCTCGAATTTCGAACGGAAATCGTAAGTTCATACAGCCTCACATCCTTATTCCAATTGTCTATGAACAGATTCGCGAAATCGGTCAACTGCCATACTGTACGTAATTTCACTCCCTACTTACTCTTACCCAGTACCCTTGCTTCCCTCTAACTCCTTATACCTCATTTCCACCTTTTCTCGCGTATTCCTTTCCAGTTGACTAAGGCACATTCTGCCAAACCACCTCCTAGCCTTCTCCTATTAGCCTTGGAAAGGTCATTCATTCTTGGAGGAAATATTCAGCCTGGCTCGGAAAGTAGCTTTATTTTGGATCAGGGCTAATTTGGACACCCCTTAACAATTCAACCAACAGCAAACAAAAATTATCAAAAAAAACAGAGAAGCTCTATTAGTGTTTCTTCCGCGTCTTCTGTTTTCTGTTTACCCACCATTACATATATCATACGTTTGCTACCAGTAATATTCATTTCTTTTCTTTTTGCAATTTCATATTCCAATTTTATTTATTTATATCGAATGGCAGGTGTTTTGATAGCTATCATTAGTCATTTACCTGACTTCGGTCTTCACTGCGGGGAGGAACACCAAAGTGAAAACAATTCGAGAGGGGGGGGGACAGCAGAATGATTCACAGATGTAAAAGAGACAGACAGACACAAAGGCAGAGAAAAGCGTAAGGTGAGTACTGTGAAGTTTGTGGAATATGACATACAATCGGGCAATGGTAGTTCGAAGTCAGAAGTTAACTGCCGGTTTATAGGCATTTTTGTTGTATGAGTATACACTGCCCAGGGTGGATTTAAGTCTATCGCACACCCCTCACATTCCATATTATTTCGGCACTTAAACCTCCTACTTGTGTATGCATCCAGATGGACAATCTGGAATTTATCATTGTCATTATTCACATGGAGCGTTTTAATATCTGTATTTTACCTTTAGATGTAATCTTTAAGTTCAACTCAATTGCTAGCTCACCTAGAACTTTCATTGAAATTTTCTGAAGAGCTATTAGAGATTCTATTTCTTTTTCATGCAAAATTGCATGTAA